GGGAGGGAGAAGGGGGCATGTGGTGCTGTGAGCTGCAAAAAGCCAGAGGAGCAGCCATGCTTACACAAAAGGACCGCTGATCTGAAAAGCTCACGCAGCTAACGCTGTTTGAGAGCCTGTTCAGTCATCAAACGGATAAATATGAAGCAGCTAGATGCCACGATGCTAGTTCTTCAGGTTTTAGTTAACATGAGACTCCAGGATCCTCGGAGCATTGTGCATTCTGCTGTGGTGCGTCTCACTGTGGAGGGTGCGTCAGGAGCGCGCCCGCTGCTGCTTTGGAACAGGGAGAGAGAGACTGACTCTGTTGCTCTGATCCCGGAGTCTGCGTGATTTTGCGTTCAAACATTGAGAGATTCTGGAGGGAGTGATAGCAATCACTGGCTTATACTATAGTAAAAATAAATAATAAAGTAGCGTTTTTAGCGAGTATTAAAGAGTTTTTTTTTTTATCTCAATGTCATAACTGCTGAAGCCAAAACACTTGTTATAATGTGAAAATGTATGGTGATTTTATATTTTCCTTTGTGTTGTAGATTGTTGACCCCAGGACCCCAAAATGCTGCAGCAGAGCTTGATTTGGATCAGACAGCTGACTTCTGCAGCTCTTCATAACTGATGAACTTCTGGATCCTGGATCTTATTGTCGAACAGACAAAGCTGTATGCAGCACAATATTTCATTGCGCACACACAGCGTCTTCCATTCAGCAGAGAAAATGCATGGACAGTGACAGTCTAGCAGCTAAAAACCTTTTTTGGTTTGACATTTCTCACTGGGTTTGTAAAAAAAACTAATCTGGAAATGTATTGGGAGTGCGGAGGAAGTAGATTCCACCCCACACTTCAGCAGAGTGTGGGGTCACCTAATTACTATTCTTTATAAACTAAAGTAAAAATGTTTCACAAAGTGTTCAGAAAGTGTTTATTTTTACTGTATATTTGTATACAAAGTGTTTTTATTGCATACAAGTTGAATATTTTATGTGTACTTAAGACAATCCTTTGAGTGTATTGTGTGTGTTTAATTTGTTTAAAAATAATTATACATTAAAAATACAATTCAAAGTATTATTTCTGTTTTTTGTCATAGTAAGAAACTGTCATACATTGTAAATATCGGTAAAGAAAAAAAAAACCCCACTTTTCTGCTTGAAAATGCGCATTTCACAAAAAGACTGTTTTCTCCAAATCTTGGTCAGGAAACAGCATTTGGTGTGAAAGTTACCTATGTTGCACTCTCAATTGCTAAAAAACTAAAAGGGTTAGAAACTTACTTTTTATTTTCAAATGAAAGCCAAGGGATAGAGCTTTCATTTGGTATGTTTCATACTTGTGTCAACCAAGGGCTCACATTTAGGGCTCACATATGCACTTTCACACCACCGGGGCTCTCTAGTTTACTGAACTTTTATATTAACTATATTTTATTTTGGGAATTTATTTTACTGTTTTATCTGTCTACTTTTTTTAAATGCAACTGTTTATTGTTTGAACTGCCTGCGTGTTTTCCTCCTTGGCAACCCCCTTCCCCCACTTTTAATTACATATATTATTTTAATGGGGTTTTATAAGTTCATATAAGCATACATATGTGTGCGACCTCTCATGGCAACCCGCTGCGCACTGCCCAAGAGATCAGCGAGTTGCTTGCTATCCTGTTATAAATCCCCTGCAACATGTGGACAGGCAGTGAGACATTTTGACCGTGAGCAAGACTAGTCCATCGGTGCGTTAATGGGGTGCTGTTGTCTGTGTGAGGCTTTCAAGATAATGGAAAAAAACATTGCTTTGCCAGGTGTGAATGAGGCACAAACAGATAGCCGTTGCGTAAGTTACGGCAGCGCAGGGCATGCCACAGATTTACAGAGACAATAGATGGGTCACACATCCTTTCTTGGTGGGGGGGGGGGGGGGGGGGGGGCAGTAAGTTAATGTGTATTTTTCTATAGTATAGCGCCAGTTTCAAGTCCAGATTTAAAATGAAGAAAGAGACGTTTCATCATTGAACTGTGATGTATTCAAAAGTATCTATATTGATGTTTTCAAAGTTTGCGTGTTACATTAGACATTGTCTGATGCGCCAAATTCCATATTTCGAAATGTTGATGCTCAATGAAAGCGCCAGCTTATAATTTTGCAGAGTGGGAATATGTTTTTTGTTGTCCAAATTCTTGAATTTCTTGCGTGTATTGGCGTGTTGTATGAAGGTTGAGATGAGCGTACAGATTTACACCACCTCCTGACTCGGTGTCACCCCCCACCCCCCCCCCCCACTCTTAATTTTGAGCGTACCGTTCACCCACGTCCAGATTGATAAATTGCGGTAAAGTGTTACGCCACATTTACACCTGAATTTGGTGCACGCAAGTTTTCACATAAATGAGGGCATCTGTACAATTTTTTGATAGTGATAAACAATTGTTGTATGATACATATGGATATATATTTAAGGAAGCCTGAGTGGCATACAGGACTTTCATCTGTATCAGTCGTTACCCTCTCAAGTTACAGTTAATCGTGAAGCATTCCAAAATGTTGCTGAATATGTTCTTTGAAATTAAATAAAAACAAGTTATGAACAATAAAATTTTTTCCCTCCATTTACATGGTTCTGATAAAGCTTTGACAGTATTTGTTTTATTAACAAAACCAATGCAAAAGTTATCTTCTTAAATATATGGCATTTATTAACTCTTTGTACAATTCAAAAAGGTCCCTTATACGTAGTAAAAATATCATTAATATACAAGCAGTCTAAAATAGAATCCAGCCGAAACAATCAATAAAGTTATTATTTTCAATATTCATAATAAAATCTTTATATTTATTAAACACTTGCCCACTACAAAAAATATGGATCTAGTGTAAATTATTTACAATTGAAGTGCTGCTGAACACTTTATATTAAACAAAGTAGGCACCACACCAGTCAAAGTTGACTTTGACAATACAAATGTGTCAAAAAAAGTGTTACATTCTGTTACTTTGCAGTTATGCCACATTTTATTGTTCAGTGCACTTGAGGCGCTATAAGTTAATACTTCGAGCAATCAACAACAGTTCTTGTTTCCTTGGACCAATCAAGCTGTTCTTTTCTTTTTTAGCATTTTTGGAATATCGCCATAAAAAACACAACATCAAGACAACGCTGATTCCGTGTGAAACCCGAGTTTACATGATAGAGATCCCCAATAAAACTCACTCCAGTGCAAAGGGTCACTCAAAGTATTGTGATTGTGTTTTGGCTGGACTTTGGACAGTTAATATTTATCATTCACACATGCGCATGTCGTGGAAAGTAACTACTATAATCTTAATATTTTAAGTACAAAGGTGGCTCAGGTCACAGGCAATTCAAGATCTTTTTTATAGTTGAGATCAACAGCAAATATCAGGCCAATTATTTTGGTTTAGGGCCCCCTAAAACTCTTCCTTCTAGCAGATACGCTGCTAAGCATGTTATAGTCATCTTAGGCGGTGAAAGTCTTACTTTATTGTTCATGCAGAGATTGTATTCTTTGCATTCGGGACCATCCTGTTCTAGGGGCCTCTATCAGGAGCAGTGCGCTCTGGAGAGCAGCACCGAAAACCAGCTCCGACCGTTGATCCCTACTCAAATCTAAACTACCGGAAACCTTGAAGGGATTGTTTGCAAACTTCCCTCAGAAAAACCAGGATCTGAAACCCATAATTCCAGGATAACAAAACGCATATTTGGACTAAAACACATTTAGAAATAAAATGAATAATTAATTTAAAGTAGTATGTGTCCATTCTGTCCACAGTACTGTTCCCTTTTGTCCTGGTTTAGGTTCATTCCCAAACACCACTTTCCATTACATTACATAAATACATATAATAGTTAAAAAAAAATGCAATTGCTAGTTATCAAACTCTATTTTACTTTTGTCTTCGGCATGGTTTAAGGAACTATATATTTAAATAATTCCTCCCCAAAAATGGCTCCTTTGTGATTTTTTTATTATTCATTCCTGCATTAAAACCGTTTTAGTCTTGATCTGTGCTGCCAAATCCGGCAACAAATCCTCCCAGCATGTTATTTTGGGCTAAACAAAATGAATAGAAATATACTCAAGTCGAGTGAATATTTATAATTGTCTTTAAAACCAACAGACTAAGCTGATTTAGCAAAGTGGGGCCAAATTCAGGTATACCAAAATTGTCCCATGAACATTAAAAAATGGTACTCATTTTTTGAGACTTTAGTTCTCAGGAATTTACTAATTTTGATGACTCAAGTGAAGTTGTTTTATCATGGGGCTGGGGCCGAGCAGGAACATGTGTGAACAAAGCCACATCCCAAGACAGAATGCATGTGTGAGTTGGCCTCTTAATAGTGCTATAATCGTCCTACAAACGTTTTCAGTCCGCCATTTTGAAACCTCAGGGCCACTTTTTGTTCATTGGTTTCATTCCTTTACAAGGACAAAGTTTCACATGAATAATTTTAAAAGACCTAACTCCCAGACCCGTGGTCAACATGTACAATACATACTAGTAATAGAATTTATAATAAAATGTGAATGTGGAATTATTCTACATATTAAAAACAATGGACATAAAGTCACATGATGATATTCAACTTTTTGCAACAGATGGATGCAATCTGAAAGAAGGAGCCTCACATAGAGTTGCCAGTTTCTATTGGTTGAAAATCCAGCGGCAGAGGCACATCACTGGCAACACGAGGTACTCTGAGCAGTTACAGGTGGACCAGGAGAGGCAGCTAGAGACACACAGGGACCCACATAATTGGAGAAATGCTTTGCTTGTCACATGAAGAGAATGAGAGAGTGAAAAGGATGATACAGCCCCCTGGCCCCTCTGCCCCAGCACATTCCATGCAGACCCAGTCCCCCCTACAGTCCAATGTAGTCCTTCACACAGTACATGTTTACCCCTCTGTCCACACCCTTAGTCACCCTAAAGCCAGTCTTCATTCAATAAGCATCATCTGCCTCGTGGGACTCTCCTCCACTACGCCTCCTGGTAGGGCCTTGCAGTCCTGGCCTGGGCCGGGGGCTCCGGTCTGCGGGCCCCCCCGCCTTGCCCCTGGCTCATGAGGTGCTTTGGTTGCAACGGTGTCTGACCTTTGAGCCTCCTCCTGCTGCTGAGTCGGAGAGCAGCTGCCTTCTTGCTCCTGTTCTGCACAAGGTCTTCATTCTGTGCGCTGCGGCTCATGACCTTTCCCCAACACTCTGCCCCAACACAAACACATATTTTTAATCAGGGTGCTCAATACATTGAACTGACGGCAGGTGTGTAAGTTCATCAGGTTCAGATTTTCATGTAATGAAATGCATGTGAAGACCACATTCGGGGGACAGCGTGCCACAAACGCTACCCCATTGAGCGGACAAGCTGTTTCTCCTCGCGCCATTTCAAAATTCACAGGTGGCATAATGAAAAGATAACTGTTATGGCCATGTGGCCCTAAAATCTAAAAGTCCCAGATTTAAAGTGTTATTACCATCTATTGTATTCTCGAATGGGAAAAAAAAAGCACTCCATGCGCATTTTAGCTCTGTGCGTGCAGGTGGCAACGCTTTGATGTGCAGTAGTCAAGAGCCAACTGGATACAAAGATGGTCAAGTGAAATAAGCCCCATTACTTCCATGCATCCGCCTTCTGCTTGCCTCTGTCGCTCTCACAACACTTCTGCCAAGCGAATTGAGAATAGCAGCCTCGCTTGCACCACACTGAGTCAGTGGTGGTGCACGCGAGGCGCTACTCTGCACCATTGAACTTTCTTCAATATATTGTCACCGAAATTAGTTTAACCACTTCAGATCTGAAGTCCTGAGACCATATGGATTATTATTCATAAATGTTCTACTTAATGGATATTTTCACAAGGCATCCTGAATAAAATGGGCATAGGTCATGAAGGATCTCAAAGCAGTTATTGAATTGAAGCTGAAGCGGAGATTCAGAATGGAAGACCGAGAGGACTAAGTCACAGCACTCAAAGTCCTTCGGTGCGCAGCACTACATGCAAATCCTCACCTGGCAGCAATTAGGCACTGCCCACATCAGCCTTCATATCGCACAGAAGCTCAGCAAGCACCAGATTATTTCTCTGCTTCCCCGGGTGACACTGCTGTCAGATGGATGTTGATGGCTGGAATTAGTGAGCTCCGTTCGAGCCGGAGGCAACGGCTCCAGTCCTTGGTGGTTATTTCTGCAAATGGTTCTGCTTTCTGTTGCAGTCCAATGGCATTCCTGTTTCGGGCGGTATGGCGTGTGTTGCAGTGTTTCCAGGGTTACCGGTAGCATGCTTTGCGCTGCGCTTCTCCAGGGCCCTTATAAATCATGCTCTCTGGATGTACCTCGTTCTTGACAAGAAACCTGGATGGTGGATCTTAAGAATATCTGAGGCCTGTGGGGGAGGTCTAGCCTACGATTTAGAGAGGAAAGCGGTTAGTTCACAATGCGATGCTAAGTGGTCTTTTAACTCATTTAAACTCCGCGGTTTCGAGCGGATGTGTCAGATTGATCAGTACTTGCTGTGTTTCGGTGGTCTGGGGCAAACGGCTCAAAGATTATAGACTTTTACTAGTTTGTTTATTTTAGTCTGGTGCGCTATAACATTATTTTGCATTGTCGGAAATTTTAATGTACTCGTTTTGCTGTCCTTCTAAGCCATGCCAGAGGATTTTTTTGGACTTGATGAATCTTTTAATTTGACTCAATAGCTTTGGTCTATGGTTTTTACTGTGACAAATTGTTGTTGGTAATGTTGTTTTCTGATCACAGTCCTCTTATTGTTCCGTTAATGTTTATTACCATAGACTGTATATCTAAATGACGTAGTCACGCTTCTCCGCCATTCTAACTAATGGGCCAAAAAATGTGTCTACTGGAAGCTATCTCCCAAAATCGGCGCGAGTGGTCCCGCCCACAAGAAAATTGTGAAAAAAAACGCACTTGCTCATGCGTCAGCCGCGCAGCTCCATTTCATTTGAATGAGAGATTCAAGTCAAGTAAAACTAGAGTGACCAAAAAATTCCCCCCTCAGCACTTGACCCATGCTGGAACTGAGCTTTGGGCCAAGAGCACCTTTTTGGTCCATCCTGTAAAGACGTTTACGAGAGGTCTGCCAATGGCTATATGTTAGGCATTGGCTAATTCTTCTTCTGGTCCACCTCAATCGGCCCTGGGGTGGCTATTGCAAGCATGTCTGCGCAACGTCATTTTGGCACTTTTGAGCAGGGACCGCCCCCACTGGTATATACCCTGACATACAAGCGCCTGCTGTGCGTCATGTGGCGTGTTATCAGTCTGACACTGCAGCCCGCCTTTTCTCCTCTGTTCACTTTGTCAAAGCAGAGTTTATCCACTCTGTTGGCATTTTCCGCAGACACTGAACAATAAATTTGCTCTTATTCTGGGCCACATGCTCTGGATCCTGGAATGTATAGCGCCGTTAGAGCCCATTTGTCAAAACAAAAAATTTGTGAAAAAGTCCGGGAGAAATGACACGGCGGCAGCTCGGCGTGAGTGGCGAGGCGGAGTGTAGGTTGGGTTTAAAATTGAGAATACAAAATATATTTTCTTTCAGACACGATATAAATAGCATCAGCAAGCCACGTAATCGTTTTAAAACTATTAGTTCTGTATTCCAAAATCAGGCCACTTCGCTGGAGGATGACCAATGGACATGACAAATTTGCTTTATTCAATTCATCTAGCTCTTCATCAATGTGTTTAAACATGGCAAATTCAGCTGTTTTAGTCAGTTTGTTCACATTCAGTCAACACAGGACATGGAACTGACACACAACTCAAACCATGTCCTGTCCACATTCCCAGTCCCTCTTGCTTTTTTAAGAGGATTGGGGGCACTATTGGCTCTTCTGTGGGGACATCATCACACAGAAGCTTACTATCTGACAATGTGCTTGCATAATGTAAAAGCACTGTTTTTGAGCCTTGATTCAAAGATGCAGGTCTTTATCTAATTACGTCATTAAACAAAAATTTTCGAAACTACCTTTGTTTCTTATAAAAATGTGATTTGGCACAACTGCAGCCTTTTGTTTAGATTAAAACAGCACTTTAGGATCCATTTCATTCTGGATACATGCTTTGCACAGTACTGAATCTGCACTTTTAAAGGTTTTAAAATGACTTGCTTTTATTGTCTGATTCTGGTGGCTCTGCCATTTCAGTGCTTTTGCTTTTACAGTTCTTTTGACACCGTTGAACAACATTCTTTTAGACCACAGGAGGACAGTGGGCGGTAGGGGGACTGCAATAGGAGTCGGTCAGGTCCTACTCGTGGAGAGGACCTTCAGTCAGGCTGGGGGTTGCCACCCTTCTTTTGTTTCGCTTTATTGGGGTGTCCCTTTCTGGGACTATCCTTTTTTGCCTTTATCTCCTTCACTTAGAGATTTTTAACAAAAACACAGAGTGCTCTATACACTTTTTGCAGATGACTTCCAAATTTACAGTGCCTTCGCGAAAGTATTGCACATTTCGCCAGGCTTCAAACATAAAGATATATAATTTAAAAAGTAAAAAAGGTGAGTGCTGCAGAGGGTACGTTGTGGTAGAAGGCAAAAAAAAAGTGCTCTTCGAAGACAGGGCCATCTAAGCATGTAGAAAGACAGAAGAGGAAAAAAGGTAGTCTGAGGGCAAACTCTGTTTTAGTGAAAAAATTAAAAGTCCATTAATGAATTGGACTGCCTACGCGTTTTGACCAAAACAGCGGTCTTCGTCAGGGCAGATAAATAAATAATAATAAATAAAAAGATATTAAATTTAATTTTTTGTCATGAAAGTTTGGAGGAGTGGCGGGTATTGGTAGATTTGCAGTGTAGTTTTTTTAAGTCTGATATCCTTCCATTTCAATATAATTGGCTTGCACGTGCTTCCTTCAGATGTTAAGCTTGGGAAATCTTCTGAACTATTCCTTTAAAGGCAATTGTAAAACCAATGCATTAATTATGAATAAAATTATTTCTACCAAGCTGTATTTCCATTTCCTTTAGTTTTTTGCAGCAAGTGGAAAGCATGGGCCACAGTTATCCTGTCATTTGGGGCATGAATTACTTTGAACATGAATTCATCACAATTTATCTTTAAAGCAATAGGTTGTCATAAACCATTAGGCAACAGTTGCAGTATATTCAAAACACTTCAGCTCAACTGACTAGAATCAGCAGGCAAATCATAGTCCAGTTTTCAGGTCTATGTACAGAATCGGCTTTAAAGCAGCTCTGACTGTCCCTCCATGTGACATGTTCGTGCCATATGAACCAACTCAGCAGGAGGCCAGTCCCTGTAATCCAAAGCCAGTACTAAATTTGAGAAGGCCGTGTTTCAGATTCATGCAGCTAAAATTTGGAATAGGCTTCTGCTCTGAAAATGTTCAAATCACATTTTGTTTGTCTAGCTGTGCATAAAACTGAAGAATTGTATCACTCTTTTTAATGCACTGAGTTTTCTAGTTTATGAACTGCCCTATACAAATAAACTTGCCTTTCCTTACCCAATTTATTGTGTTCTCAATGTGAGTTTATCCAACTTATGGGTGAGAAATCAGGGCTGGGCTTTTCAGTATTACAGTAGCTAAAATATTGTACAATAAGCAGTTGATAAGTATAGTATAAGTATTAATAGATTAACTTGGCTTTTAAACCCGCGGTAATCAAACGCCTTCTGAAGAAAACAAACCTGGACCCAGAAATACTTACAAACTACAGACCGATCTCAAACCTCACTTTCATATCCAAAATCCTGGAAAAACTTATAGCTGAGCAGCTTTGCTGCCACCTGCAGGAAAATAATATGTTTGAAGTCTTTCAATCAGGATTCAGAGCTCATCATAGCACTGAAACGGCACTAGTCAAAGTCACAAATGACTTACTACTAGCTGCTGATAATGGACAAGTGTCAGTGCTGGTCCTACTGGACAATCGACCACAGCATTCTACTGCAGAGGCTAGAATGTGATATAGGTCTTAGAGGAACAGCCCTTGGCTGGTTTATTTCCTATTTATCAGATCGGTATCACTTCGTCAACGTAAATCAGAACTCGTCGCCTTATTCTGGAGTGGAATTCGGTGTGCCGCAGGGTTCGGTACTTGGACCGATTCTTTTCACTCCCTACATGCTGCCGTTAGGAAACATCGTTAAAAAGCATGGAATTAATTTCCACTGCTATGCAGATGACACACAGCTTTATCTGTCGATGAAGCCAAATCAGACGGATCAGCTGGAAAGTGCCTGCATAAAGGACCTTAAAACGTGGATGACTCTTAACTTCCTACTTCTCAACCCGGAGAAGACAGAAGTGATCCTACTCGGTCCGAAGCGCCTGCGTGACTCCCTTACTGACCAGATAATCACTCTCGATGATGTCAGTATTATACCCAGTAATACTGTGAGGAATCTTGGAGTCATTTTCGACCAAGAACTCTCCTTCAAGGCTTATATAAGCCAAGCAACTAAAACGGCGTACTTCCACTTAGGGAACATCGCTAAAATCAGGAATTTCCTTCCTAAAAGTGACGCGGAAAAACGTATTCACGCTTTTGTGACTTCAAGACTTGACTACTGTAACGCTTTATTGGCAGCATGCCCTAAAACCTCTTTGAAGAGCTTCCAGCTCGTTCAGAATACAGCAGCAAGGATCTTAACAGGTACCAAAAGGAGGGAGCACATAACTCCGGTGTTAAAATCACTCCACAGGCTCCCTGTGGAGTACAGAATAAAGTTTAAAATCCTTCTCTTAACATATAAAGCCATAAATGGCTTGGCTCCTTTCTATCTCCAAGACACGTCAGTGTCATATCAACCAAGTCGAGCGTTGCGCTCACAAAACGCCAGACGTCTGGTGGTTCCTAAGGTCTCAAAAATCACTGTCGGTGGCAGAGCATTTAGCTACCAAGCTCCTTTACTGTGGAATCAGCTTCCCATTTATGTTAAGGAAGCAGATACGGTCTCCACATTCAAGGCCAGGCTTAACGCACTCTACTTTAATTTAGCATATAATATATATAAAATATGGTGTATATATTATATATATATATGCTGTATTATGTAATATGTTATATAGTATACAAAATATGTATTATGTTGTGTATTGTGTTATGTTGTATATTATGTTATATATTATGCTGTATGTTATGTATTATATATAATATACTGTATATAATATGTATGGTATATATGATACATAATATATAATTAGGTTTGCCTGGATCGGTGTGCACACCTGGTGTGCAATCCATGAATCTTGGTGCTGTAACCTAGGCTAGCCTAGCCGTGGCTGCTGCTGCTGTCTCACCTCCTTTCAGATACACTCTTTTTATTCAAGGCTAGGTTTAAAACAGTCCTCCTCAGTTTAGCATATGGTTAGGAAGGTAAGACTCAGGGAAGGCTAAACTCCTCAGACTGTCAGTCAAGCTGCATAGGGAGCCCCCTGCTGGAGAAGTATGGTAACTTGAGCACTATCCTCTCTTCCTTCCTACTTTACCTGTTTAGCATTATTAGGATTCTGACTGTAGTTTGTTCATTGCTATTCACCCGTTGTCCCATTGTCTGTTTCATGGTACGATGACGGGATCTCTGAGCCTGGCCTCCTCCATCTACACCTGCGGACTGCCCTGCCCGACCCGCCTGGGAGTGCTTCAGTCCTGCACCGGACGTGTCCACGTTCAGCGGCCACTGGTCCACGTTCTGTAGCTAGCTTAGGTCCTAGATCATTAGCCTGTCCGTCCGGAGGAGCGGATCCCTTTCTCAAATGGGTCTCCCTCCCTGTGGGTTTCCCTAGTTCTCCAAGGTTTCTCACTTTTTCCCACTGGGTTTTTTAAGAGTTGTTCCTTGTCGATGCAGGAGGGTCTTGTTGGACAGTTAAGTGTCCAACAGAAAGGATTGGTGATGATCCAGGACACTTTAGCATTCTACAACATGTATGGACATTTTCTTCTGTGTGTGCTTTATATTTTTCATGTGTTTTAACTGTTGATTCTCTGACCTGTGTTGGTGATTTCAATGGTTTTGTTAAGTCCTCTGAGATGACTTCTGTTGTGACCTAGGGCTATACAAGAATAAATTGTATTGTATTAAGGTTGTGCTTGGTGAACTGTGCAAGTTGAATGAATCAGCCCAGAGTGGTGCACTTCTGCATAGCAGGCAGCATCTTGATTAAACCACCAGACGGCGCTAAATTCCCCACTGTCCGTTTGCCTGTAGAAGTCAGTATTATCACATCAGGGGCTCTGCCCCTCTGATAGACACACAGCACACATGTTCACATGTGTAGTTTATATTACAGCTCAGTAAAATCTACTTGAATACACAGTACAGAAAATAGAGTAGATATTTGGAGCATGGAGCATGAGTTCTTAGTCCCACCAGAAGAGTACAAAAGAGTTGTGCCTGTGGGACAGTGCCACGACAGGAAACAGACTAAACTAGGTCAGATACATGTGGCCCTGTATCAAAAGGCTTTGTACACAGTCTCAGGGGCCATAGATTCAACTGATTACAAAAGTGCTATTTACAGGAGCAACAGGCTGGCTGTGGACAGTCCAGTTCATCAGGATGTGGGGGGATCAGAAGGGGGGTCCGTGGGGGTGTCCGGGGGCCCCTCTGCAGGCTGGGGCTGTGTGGAAGGGCTGGGGGACACATGCACAGACAGCTGGGGCAGGGCCTGGGCCACAGCTGCCGGTTTTGCCAGGATGAGGTGAGGGGGCCGACCAGGGGTGAGTGTGTTCCCCTGCATGAGGGTGCTCAGCTGGCTGGCCGGGATGGTGATGATGGTGATCTTGTCCCCAGCTTTGGACCCTCCAGGCAGTATTGTGGGCATGGTCTGGATCAGCAGCTTGGGGCTGCAGTTGGTGCCACCCACCGACACCGGGACTCCCGTGGTGGTGAGGAGGGAAGAGGAGTTGAGGGTCACCTGACCTAAAGAGTTCACCATCATGGGCATAGCTCGGATGGGCCTGAGGAGAACAGGGAACAGTTTACTACACTCATATAATCAACAATGACCCAGAGTAGAAAACCTGACAACATACAGACGGAATTTTTTTAAGAACCTGCACAATACATAATTTGTCACCTCAATGATTCTGAACTCTCTGATGATGGCGCAAGTGAACCCCAAGTCTTGTGCAGCATCATACCAGCCTTTATGAGAACACTGGTATAGTGGTATTTTATAAGCTTGTCTGTATTTTTTTATGAGTCTTGTACAAGAAACACAGACGGACAGCAATTAACAAGAGTGGACCTAGAGTCAAAATAAAAGAAATAATGATGACTACAAAAATTAAGTGAAATAAAGAAGTATCAAACAAAGAGTCCATGTTCCTGCCCCATGATTCAAATTGCGTTTCATAAATCCCGGCTTTGAGGGACAAAGTCTCTCTGGGACAGACTGACCTGGCTCCTGTGTTGGCGGGGATCACAGTCACGTACGTCTGCTGGGCCTGAGGGCTGGAGCTCAGGGTCACACCACCCTGCTGGAGAGCCAGGTGCTGAGCGGCCTCTGCATCCTCAGACTCTGGGACCTCCTCTTCGTCAATCACACGGATGTTCTTCGGCATCTCCTTGAACTGGTAGGCGAGGCGTTGGCCCTCCACTTTGGCCAGGATCCCACGCTGGTAGTAATACCTGCACACATGTGACACGGTGACCAGAGTTAGGAAGAATTCAGGTTTTATTTGTCTACAGTGCTGCTGCTCACGGGACATTTGAGGGCGACAGTAGCTCAGTTGATAGAGCCCGACTTTCACCATCGACTCCCACTGTCTGCTGTCCTTGTGTCCTTGGCAAGACACTTAACCTCTGGGAACACCAGGTGCCACAGTGGGGCGGCTGCGGCTGTAAAGTGCCAAACTGCCGTTGAGTCCTTTAGCAAGACACTTCACCCCCATTGCCTAGAATGAGTCTGGTGTGTGTGTGTGAATGGTTGGTGGTGGTCGGAGGGGCCGATCGCACATACTGGTTGCCTCGCTTTTGTCAGTGTGCCCCAGGGCAGCTGTGGCTACAGTAGTAGTTTATCACCACCGTGTATGGAGTGAAAGAATAATGACATGTAAAGCGTCTTTGAGTGTCCAGAAAAGCGCTATAAAAACGAACTCATGGCTTTAGTTAGTACTTTTAGAAAGACTAAAAGTAGATATTTTGATCAAAAAGTAGACAACTGTAATGGAACGGTCTGCTCACTGGGATATATGCAAAATTCTGCAGCTTGAGTCCTGACTAGAAGTACCACCACATTGGTCAAGTTCGCAGGGTGATGCCATGATTTATGTAGCTTGGACATGAAACGGTCTTCCTGAGGTTGTGAGACTGGACTCAACCCTAGGCCTGACCATCTTCAAAACTAGGTTTTAAACATTTCTATTTAGTTGTGCATATAACTAATTATATTTTATACAATGTATCCCTTTTTAAAAATCCATTTTGATAAGAGTTTTAAGCAGCTCGGTTTTAATAGTAAATCGTTGTATATTGACGCACCTTATGGCCTTTTTGTTTTTTATGCATTTTGATCTGTGTTTTTAAATTTCTCGTGAAGAACTTTGAATTGCCCTGTAAACGAATTGTGCTATAAATATAAATGTTGAAGGATTGAATAGCTGCCTTGAATGCCAGTTATAATATGTATGCTTACATAGGTTTACTTTCAAATGTAATGGAAAACGGCAGCCAGTCCCAAGTAGCTCTGAAACAGTTGTTGTTTTGTGCTTTTTTCTACCTGAGATGTTTCTGCAGTACAGTGTTCATGGTTTTGCACTGTTCCAGACCAGAGCAGAGAGGATTCATGGTCCGAACCAGGCGGATCAGGTGAAAATCCACTGGAGGAATGCAAACTTTTTGAGAAAGGCTAATGAAGCCTTTAGAATTTTGCTTTGGACTAGAGCAGAGAAAATGGTCCGAACCTAGCGGCTACCTTGTGACCTGTCCTGCTCCACCCAGAGGCTACTCCACCTCTGCTGCCGTGACCCGTCCTGCTCCACCCAGAGGCTGCTACTCCACCTCTGCTGCTGTGACCTCAACCTGCTCCACCCAGAGGCTACTCCATCTCTGCTGCTGTGACCTGAAGGGCTGTTGCTGATTATTACCATTTTTAGCTTTTTAGAATGTACATATTTTTAAAGGGAAGATGTTTTCCGTTGTTAAAAAGGCAGCTGTTTAACATCGTTTATTTTTGTAAAACAAGCCAACAAAAAATTATTGAACACTTACAAAAGATTGATTATTTATTTAAACATTAATTGAGGTTGCAGTTTTCTGTATTTTGAAATGTTCCTTTTTAAGGTTTGTAAATCAACATCAATTTACAGTGAAAATTAATCATTACAAAAATAATTTAATATATTCCATACATACATCTAAAAATATATGTATCCTAAGTATTTGGAATACAGCACCTACTTTTTCCAAAGTAATGGAATAGGTCATGGATTCAGTATTCTGGAACAGAATACATTTTCAAAGTATTGCCTAGAATAAGTCTGGTGTGTGCATGAATGCTTGGTGGTGGTTGAGGGGCTGATAGCACATAATGGTCGCCTCGCTTTTTCAGTGTGCCCCAGGACAGCTGTGTCTACAGTAGTATTTTAATCACCTTTGTGTATGGAGTGAAAGAATAATGATATGTATGTGTAATGATAATTAGGTAATATATAATATATGGTGTATATATTATATATGTATGCTGTATTATGTTATATACTATACAATAATGTATTGTGTTATGTTGTATATTATGTTATATATTATGCTGTATGTTATGTTGTGTATTATATATGATATATATGGTATGTATGGTATATATGATGTATACGATATATAATAAGGTTTGCTTGGATCGGTTTGCACACCTGGTGTGCAATCCATGAATCTCTTTATTCAAGGCTAGGTTTAAAACAGTCCTCTTTAGTTTAGCATATGGCTAGGAAGGTAAGACTCAGGGAAGGCTAAACTCCTCAGACTGTCAGTCAAGCTGCATAGGGAGTCAGTTTGCTGGGAGAAGTATGGTAACTTGAGCACTATCCTCTCCTCCTTCCTACTTTATCTACTTTATCTGTTTAGCACTTTTAGGATTCTGACTGTAGTTTGTTCATTGCTATTCACCCGTTGTCCCATTGTCTGTTTCATGGTACGATGACGGGATCTCTGAGTCTGGCCTCCTCCATCTGCACCTGCGGACTGCCCCGCCCAACCCGCCTGGGAGTGCTTCGGTCCTGCACCGGACCTGTCCACGTTCAGCGGCCACTGGTCCACGTCCTGTAGCTAGCTTAGGTCCTAGATCATTAGCCTGTCCGTCCGGAGGAGCGGATCCCTTTCTCATATGGGTCTCCCTCCCTGTGGGTTTCCCTAGTGCTCCCCAAGGTTTCTCACTTTTTCCCAATGGGTTTTTTAAGAGTTTTTCCTTGTCGATGCAGGAGGGTCTTGTTGGACAGTTAGTGTCCAACAGAAAGGATTGGTGATGATAAGGACACTTTAGCATTCTACAACATGTATGGACATTTTCTTCTGTGTGTGCTTTATATTCTCCATGTGTTTTGGCTGTTGATTCTCTGACCTGTGTTGGTGATTTCAAGGGTTTTGTTAAGTCCTCTGAGATGACTTCTGTTGTGACCTAGGGCTATACAAGAATAAATTGTATTGTATTGTGTATTGTGTATGTGAAGCGTCTTTGAGTGTCCAAAAAAGAGGTATATAAAAACCGATGCATCATAGAGTGTAGTGTGGGGAAGTGTGTGGGTGGCAACAGTAAGGGTCTGACCTGAGCGCTCGGCCCATGGTCTCGTAGTTCATGTCAGGCTTGTTCTTGTGCTTTCCCCACAGTTTGGACACAGCCTTGGAGTCCACCAGTTTGAAGATGCCCTTGTCTCGCTGCATCCACTTTATGTAGCGAGGACATGTGTTCTTGTCCTGCAGCAGCTCCAAAAGGAACTCCCACAGATAAGTGGTGTTTCCTGGACACAGCATTTAAAACATACAATCAAACCACAACTACAGATTGAAAGGACAAAAGCATTCAGGGGTCTTCACAAATATACTATGGTATGTCTCCTATAGAGCAGACTCGGCTGTGTGCACGGACCTTTGCCCTCTTTGGGCCTCTTCTTGATGCCCAGGTCAAACGAACCATTGGACGCTGGCTGGTGAGTTTTGGGCTTCCGTCCTGTGACACAGACCCAATGAGTGAAGGTGTTTAAGAGCATATCTGAGAGAGTAAAGAGAATCACCTCCTTTCTTTTTCTTGGCTGAAGGCTCGCAGTCAGGAGCCATAGGAAAAGTCTCCTCCTCCTCCTCCTCCTCCATGGGGCCGCACTCTGTGGACACCTCCACCACGGTCTCCATCATCACGTCGTCTGTTCGTGCGCACACACACACAGAGTCAGTTGACATGTTGCTGTGAGGGGTGCAGTGATTATGAGGGAGTTCTACCTGAGCCGCGCTCATTGTGCAGACCACCTGGAGACTCCATATGCAGCAGAGCTTCTGCTGCTTCAAACGTCTTATCGAAACACACCATGTCATGAGCCGACATCTCCACTGTAACACAACACAGGGCATGCCAGAAGTCATTGACAATCTGGACAGGGTATGGGTTAGAGAAAACAGCCTGAACCAATCAGCAAGGATCCCTGTATATTCATGAGACTATACATTTTTTGATTGTAAGTTACAGAGGAGGCATTTTTTATATTGTAAGTTACAGAGGAGAAGGATAGTGATAGTGAGATGTATAGCTTTGTAAATAGGTACAATTCAACTGTGAGACACAGAATGTGAAAAAAAAATATCCAGGAATTCACATTTAAGGATTTTTAAAGAATTTATTTGTACAGTGAAAGTATTTGGCCCCCTTGAACCTTTCAACATTTCACCACATTTCAGGTTTCATTTCAGGCTTTTGTCAAGAATCAACAACAAGTGGGACACAATCGTGAAGTGGGAATTCTTGCCCATTCTTCCTTGCAAAACAGCTCGAGCTCAGTGAGGTTGGATGGAGAGCGTTTGTGAACAGCAGTCTTCAGCTCTTTCCACAGATTCTCGATTGGATTCAGGTCTGGACTTTGACTTGGCCATTCTAACACCTGGATACGTCTATTTGTGAACCAATCCATTGTAGATTTGGCTTTATGTTTTGGATCATTGTCCTGTTGGAAGATAAATCTCCGTCCCAGTCTCAGGTCTTTTGCAGACTCCAACAGGTTTTCTTCCAGAATGGTCCTGTATTTGGCTCCATCCATCTTCCCATCAATTTTAGCCATCTTCCCTGTCCCAGCTGAAGAAAAGCAGGCCCAAACCATGATGCTGCCACCACCATGTTTGACAGTAGGGATGGTGTGTTCAGGGTGATGAGCTGTGTTGCTTTTACGCCAAACATATCGTTTTGCATTGTGACCAAAAAGTTTGATTTTGGTTTCATCTGACCAGAGCACCTTCTTCCACATGTTTGGTGTGTCTCCCAGGTGGCTTGTGGCAAACTTTAAACGAGACTTTTTATGGATATCTTTGAGAAATGGCTTTCTTCTTGCCACTCTTCCATAAAGGCCAGATTTGTGCAGCGCACGACTGATTGTTGTCCTATGGACAGACTCTCCCACCTCAGCTGTAGTTATCTGTAGTTCATCCAGAGTGATCATGGGCCTCTTGGCTGCATCTCTGATCAGTCTTCTCCTTGTTTGAGATGAAAGTTTGGAGGGACGGCCGGGTCTTGGTAGATTTGCAGTGGTCTGATACTCCTTCCATTTCAATATAATCGCTTGGACAGTGCTCCTTGAGATGTTTAAAGCTTGGGAAATCTTTTTGTATCCAAATCCGGCTTTAAACTTCTCCACAACAGTATCTCGGACCTTGCTGGTGTGTTCCTTTGTCTTCATGGTTCTCTCTGCGCTTTAAACAGAACCCTGAGACTATCAAAGAGCAGGTGCATTTATACGGAGACTTGATTACACACAGGTGCATTCTATTTATCATCATCAGTCATTTAGGACAACATTGGATCATTCAAAGATCCTCACTGAACTTCTGGAGTGAGTTTGCTGCACTGAAAGCAAAGGGGCCGAATAATATTGCACGCCCCACTTTTCAGTTTTTTATTTGTTAAAAAAGTTTACATTATCCAATAAATTTTGTTCCACTTCACAATTGGGTCCCACTTGTTGATTCATGACAAAAAAATTAAATTTTATATCTTTATGTTTGAAGCCTGAAATGTGGTGAAATGTTGAAAGGTTCAACACAACCGAATACTTTCGAATACTGTAAATCATGGTGGAAAATAAGTATTTGGTCACTTCAAACAAGGAAGATCTCTGGCTCTCACATACCTGTAACTTCTTCTTTAAGAAGCTCTTCTGTCCTCCACTCGTTACCTGTATTAATGGCACCTGTTTGAACTCGTTATCTGTATAAAAGACACCTGTCCACGGCCTCAAACAGTCAGACTCCACTTAACCTGGCAAGAGCCAGATTGATGATTGTGTAGAACTCAAACGCGTTCTCCACGATATCAATCTGGGATTTCTCCCGGAGAATCCTTTCGGGGAAAGGAGGGATAAGCAGCAGAATACTTCAAGCTGATTGGGCGAAGTGACGCTGTGTGCCCGCCTACCAAGGTTGCCGTCCAGAAATGCACAAAGCGCCTCTCGCTGTTCATCTTTCAAAAAAGAAATTGGAGATTCTGCTAAAACTGACTTGATAGCCTCAGCTACGCGTCCGTCCTCCTGCGTAGCCATGTTTGTTTTGCTTCGGCCCGGCACTTCTTGCTTTCGTCAAACCCGGATATCCCGCCCTAAACCCCCAGACTGGCGCGTGATTGGCTCGCACACCCAGTGGTTCGACTCGAAAAGTGTAAGCGGGAGCGGTACAAGATGTATTCTCGAGTGTTTGTGAACTCACAAATACCGCGAGAATTCAGCTTGCAGGCAAGGTTAGACTCCACTATGGCCAAGACCAAAGAGCTGTCGAAGGACACCAGGAAAAGAATTGTAGACCTGCACCAGACTGGGAAGAGTGAATCTACAATAGGCAAGCAGCTTGGTGTGAACAAATCAACAGTGGGAAGACTAGGGGTGTGACGATACTTTCTCCCGCGATTCGATTATCGATATGCATTTGCCAAGTATCGATATCGATTTTTAAAAATATATTTTTTACATTAAAAAAAATAAATTAAATTGATATCAATACTTAATATATGGCTACATTACGCATCTCCATTTCATTTATCATGAAATAAAGTGTATTTTTTCTTTTTTTTATGCCATAAATTGGCATATTGTATATTTCTGACCAATATATTGATAATCGTTATCGTGATATCGTTACCCTATACAAGACCACGGATAATCTCCCACGATCTGGGGCTCCACGTAAGATCTCATTCCGTGGGGTCAAAATGATCATGAGAACGGTGATCAAAAATCCCAGAACCACACGGGAGGACCTGGTGAATGACCTGCAGAGAGCTGGGACCAAAGTAACAAAGGTTACCATCAGTAACACACTACGACAACAGGGAATCAAATCCTGCAGTGCCAGAGGTGTCCCCCTGCTGAAGCCAGTGCATGTCCAGGCCCGTCTGAAGTTTGCCAGAGAGCACATGGATGATACAGCAGAGGATTGGGAGAATGTCATGTGGTCAGATGGCGCCGGCGCCGTGGCAAGAGCTCTGGTGTGTGTCGGCAGTCGGAGGTGCTCATCCCGAGAAAAAAATCCGTGGTTTATACAAAGCACAATGTGTCTATCCAACTGTCTGTGAAACTGTCTGGTGCACACCGGGGTAGTCTTGCACAGTTCTTCCAATGTGGTTTTACTGCAAATGGCAAATAAATGAATCTGAATCTGAGATGAAACCAAAGAAGAACTGTTTGGTATAAACTCAACTCGTCGTGTTTGGAGGAAGAAGAATACTGAGTTGCATCCCAAGAACACCATACCTACTGTGAAGCATGGGGGTGGAAACGTCATGCTTTGAGGCTGTTTTTCTGCAAAGGGGACAGGACGACTGATCCGTGTTAAGGAAAGAATGAATAGGGCCATGTATCCTGAGATTTTGAGCCAAAACCTCCTTCCATCAGTGAGAGAAACGTTGCTGGGGTCTTCCAGCATGACAATGATCCCAAACACACCGCCCGGGCAACGAAGGAGTGGCTCCGTAAGAAGCATTTGAAAGTCCTGGAGTGGCCTAGCCAGTCTCCAGACCTGAACGCCATTGAAAATCTGTGGAGGAATTTGAAAGTTTGTGTTGCTCGGCGACAGCCTCAAAACATCACTGCTCTCGAGAAGATCTGCATGGAGGAATGGGCCAAAATACCAGCTACTGTGTGTGCAAACCTGGTAAAGACCTATAGTAATTGTTTGACCTCTGTTATTGCCAACAAAGGTTATATTACAAAGTATTGAGTTGAATTCTTGTTATTGACCAAATACTTATTTTCCACCACAATTTACAAATAAATTCTTTAAAAATCCTACAATGTGAATTCCTGGATTTTTTTTTTTTTCACATTCTGTCTCTCACAGTTGAAGTGTACCTATGATGAAAATTACAGACCTCTGTCATTATTTTAAGTGGGAGAACTTGCACAATCGGTGGCTGACTAAATATAATTTAATTTAATCATATATATATATAAAAAACTGTCTTCTACATAAAGACAGAATGTTGATAATGTGAATGCAGTTTTATGTGGATTTACTGTTATAATAAACAAATAGTATCGATATCGATTTTGAAAAAAATATTTTTTCACATTAAAAAAATAAATAAAATTCATATCAATACTTAATATATGGCTACATTACGCATCTCCATTTCCTTTATCATGAAATAAAGTGTATTTTTTCTTTTATTTATGCCATAAATTGGCATATTGTATATTTCTGACCAATATATCGATAATCGTTATCGTGATATCGTTATCGTGATAATTTTGTTATCGTGATAATTTCGTTATCGTGATAATTTCGTTATCGTGATAATTTCGTTATCGTGAGCTTTGTATCGTGTATCGTATCGTATCGTGAGGTACCCTTAGGTTCCCACACCCTCTACCATGATCAACATAGTATACATGTACACGATGTTGTTATTTATCTTTCTATTCAAACAACCATTTACAGAAAAATATGGCATAATTTTGCCAATAGTTTGAAATGCAATTAATTACGATTAATTTTTTAGCTGTAATTAACCCTCTATGCACATGGGTCATTTTGGGGAACTTTCCTCGCCTAGTTTTCTTTGTGTATAATTGTTCATAAAACAGTCATCTTTTGATGCAGAGTCAAGCAGTATACTTTGTTTTTTTCAGTACAACCTGGGGTTTTAGAATATTCATATTGTAAAGCTGTTGTAAAGTGGCGACAGTAGCTCAGTTGGTAGAGCATTGGCCTTTGGGCCTGGAGGTCGTGAGTTCGATTCCCACCATGGGACCTACTCCAACTGCTCCCACTGATGACTGCTGTCGTTGTGTCCTTGGGCAAGACACTTAACCCCACATTGCCTGAAGCCCCCTACTGAAAGATCAAGGCTGTTTCACAATTGACGGAGCAGCCATCTTCCTGTGGACTCACCCCCTGCAGAAGATCAGTGAGGGACTGGTGCTATGAGCGTTGGGTGGCAGCTCTCATTGCCACCCCCCTGACCCAGAAATGGACAAAGGGGTTGAAAATGAAATGAAATGAAAATGAAATAAAGCTGTCATATGAATTATATAAAAATTATGGAATCATGAAGACAAAGAAAAAAATCAAACGGAAAATCAATTTAACAAAAATGTATTGAAAAAACACAATGAAATGCTATAAACAACTTTTTACACTGGATAGAAATGTTATTTATGGTCTTGGGGATAATGGGGAAAAAAAATTGAATCTCTAACTATTATACTTTTTACAAAATTCCACTATAAAAGCAAAAAACTCTGTACTCCTGATGCCCTTCCTGAAGCAGTTTGTTTATAATGCTGGGGTTGCTTCTGTAGTACAGCTGTAAAAAAACGTAAAACATAAAAAACTGAGCCAAAAAAAAAAAAAAAAAACATCAATTATTTATATAATACATATGTAAGGGATAATGTATAGCATACAGGTCATTATCGGAAAATAAGTACCGACAGCGCGTCGGGGTCTGCTTCCGTCTGCTTCCCCCCTTAAGTGTTATTATGGGATGCGTGGGCGGGTCATTCGGTATATGCGTCAAAAGCGTTAATTTTTTTACACGATTAAAGAAAAAATTATTTACGTGCGTTACACAATAATTTTGACAGCCTTAATATAAATAGAATTGGACTGCATGATATATGGTGTGCCCACTGGTTGAAAAACATGTGGGAAGGGACTCACCAGTTTCTGCAACCTCTGTGACCACCTCCTCCTCTGCCACATCCTGCAGTAGATAAGTCTCATCTCCATACACCACCACCTGTGCAGAGTAGCACTCTTCCACCTGAGCACTGGGCACCTCCTCCACAATGACCGCAGGACACTCCTCGTCCTGAAGCACTACAGTCTGCTCCACCTCTCCTTCTGAGCCGGTCACCAGGACTTCCTCCACCTGGTTCTCCTCCGGGATTCCCTGTTCACACTGAACACAGAGCAGCAGTTAGGCATTTGTTGGACCACCCACCCTTCATCGTGATGAATGTGGACGCTGTGCTGCGGCTGAAAACACATGCTTCTGGCAGTAAGGTCAGGGTCAACTCTTAAGTCAATGAGATCAATCAGTGCAGCCAAGTTGTTCTTCCATTCAATGATCTTGTCTCATTTGTCATGTTGTATCACTGTGTGGGGACAAGCTAACCAGTCCACTATGAAAGGTTTGAACTCTCTGTACAAGCAAGCTTGATAAAGTGCTCGATAAAAAGCCCATGATGTGGCACTATTGCAAAATACAGGAAGAGCATAACCTTATAAGTAAAATTTGGTAATTTTTAACATACTTTTATATTAAATTATTCTTTATGTGTAAACAACCTTGTTCCTGATATTGCTGCAGGAATGATAGAAAAATGTGCAGCCCACATGATGACTACTAGGGGCGCTGTCAGTAGAGACCAGCAAGATGTAAAACATAATTTGGTCAGACTGTATTGCAGTAGAAGGGCCACAGCTCTGGAACATTTTACCTGCCAAACTGAAATCTTTAAAGCTTAGCGTACATCGGACTGGCAACTGATTATATCCGTCGCATATGAGTTGCTGCCCCGCACACATCGACAATCTGACGAAAACGGGCAACTCCCAGTAGCAGACCAGTCTCGGGAATAACAGCGCGTACATCGACAGCAACTGGCCTCAACTACAGTGTGTTTTCTGACATAAACTGTTGCGGGCTTGCAATACACGCAATACACACACGTTGTCGGAGCGGCGCATGGAGCGCGCACATCGGGTCATATCTCCGAAACTGAGGACAACTAGTTGCCGAAAAGTAGAACACGGGCAACTGACTGAAACTGGAGACCGACTGATCATCTCCAGTTGTAAGAGCGCGCACATCGACCGATTTCGGCAACTGATCATCTCCCACCATCTCCTCTCAGTTGCCAAAAGCCGCCTTGCAACTAGTTGTCTCCAGTTTCTCTGTCGATGTACGCTAGGCTTAACAGACCTGAATGAGTTTAAAATTAAAGGTAAACAATGGCTCAAAAGAAACAAAGACATTAGACCACATATGTCCAGTCCCACACTGAAGGAACTGTTTTCCAATGTTATTCAAATGTAGGTCAACCCAAATATCAGGAAATTTCATGTGGATAAAATCAAATGAAAAAGTTTTTTGTTACATAAACATGCTTAAAAAAAGTTAAGTGTTGGAAGTTTTTTTTCTAAAACGCTCGATTTTGACATCTTAATTTCATGAGGCTATAACTTAAAAGTGATAAAGGATTTATGTAAATGACAAAAATATTAAAGATGGCCCAAAGTTTATCTAGGGAATAAATCCACCCATCTACTTTGCATAGCATGACGTCATATGGCGTTAGAGATTGTGGATTTTAGAATTTTCATACAAAGTTTTTATTTTTCTATCTGACAGACCTATATTGATCACTAGGATGGAAAAAGTGGTATACATCAGGGGTTAAAGCAAAAAAAAAAAGATTTGACTGAAAATTTTCGCATGGAAATTTATCACATGTAAATCACAGTAATATGCAGGACCAAGTTATATTTGTAATTACAATATATTATTGTATAATAGATTGTATATTGAATACAGCTCAAATGAATTCTTCAAAGATATACAGTGTATTTTGATATGAAATATAAGTGGATCAAGCAACGAGTAAACTTTTTGACAGAATATTAGTGAGAGTAGCTTTACTTGAGGCGATATGGAGCGTCAACACTTTGGCTCTGTCCTCGTCAAAATATTGCAAAAGGACGATAAAATTCTGTCCACATTTGTTTGTGGACACGTCAATATTTAAGAAAAAGGTTTCCCTATCAAGTTTGAGTGCACAGTGCACTTCGATCAACTGCAAATGATTTAAATAAATCTACCAGCGGTAGTGATATTCTGAACGTTATTTTCTGCGATAAAGCCACAGACACGGTCTGCCATAGCAAGCCTAGTGTTAGTTGTTGCTGATGCACCAGGTAAAGATGAAGTGTGGGAAAGTGCACAAACAGCTGCCTTGTGCGCAGTTTTGAGCTGGTGGCTAATCAAAACTTTTTTCTCATTACTCCTATACATGCAATTTTTTATGGCAAAGTACGCACAAGCACCGGCCACTTTCATCTTTTCGCACCATGACTCATTGATTGGCTCTTTTACATCACGCTGAGTTTTGCAAGAAGATCGCAAACAAGACAATATCAAAAGCTCACCAAGACATGTTTGTCCCCATTCCCAGTTGCAGCAAAGTCCGTTTTGTACATTCCGTTAAGTAAACTAGCATTGCGTTTGGTAAACGTTAATTACCTTTCCTCTATTACGCGCCCAGCTTACCAGTCCGCGGATCTGCTGCTGTTATTGCTCCGTTCGAGATTCAATTTTCCTCCTCTTCTCCTTTTCAAAAGCTCCGTGCAGTTTCCAGAAACTTTCACCTCCGTGTTACCAATGCTAACTTCATCGCGTCTTCATTTGCGCGTGAGCTCAGCTACGTCCCATTGCCTTGATTCATTTGCGGAGCGCTCATGTGGCCACGGCACGTTCAAGGCCCACTCGTGATTATATTACTTCTATATACATATAAATACAATTATATTCAAATTATTATTATACATCGATATATATATATATATATATATATATATATTATAACAGATTCACACGTATATGTATTACTATATATTATTTTTATAATCAATCATTTCATTGTGTGTATTATTATCATTATATATATATATATATATATATATATTATATTTTTTTTTTCCAGACCAATTTCATTTGACGGAAATCCGTCACCTAGACGGAACTCTTTTAATCCCTGGTATACATGCATCAAGAGTTCCGAGCTTCCGGCTCGACCGCATGGCATTGTGGGTAGTTTTCTCAAAAAGGTGGGCATCAAATCACGCTGCCATATTGGATTACTTGTTGCGAACGTGATCTATCTCTCTTGTTTCCAGCTCATAGATTGTTTTAATAGCTAAAAAAATCACCAATTTCAGACATTTTGAAGGTAAGGTAAAGATATTTTCATTTTAAAAAAAAGCAATGCATTTTTTTCTTGTGGTTTTAGATGTAAACACAACCGACTGACTATAGAGCTACATGTAGCTTATGCTACTTACGAGGATAAATAACATTTCTGATCAGAGCATTCAGAGTGGGGACATTATTAAGAACAAACAGTGAGCTGGCAGTATAGAGAGGTGTGCAGTAGGCTTTAAACAAAGTTATTTTCACTTTATCTGTACACATGTGAAATCTCGCTTAAGTGTTAGCCTGTCCATACAGCTCACAGTACTGCCTCTGAATGTCATCGTCATCACTGAGGTCACTCAGGTATTTGGCCTTCTCTACATTCAGAAGCTCCACACCAGACAAATATGTCCAAAGTACAGCTTTGGGCAAGTTTATAAAGCTTGCGTGTAAACATTCGATCCTTGTAAATTGCATAAGCTACATGTAGCTCTATAGTCAGTCGGTTCTGTTTACATCTAAAACCATAAGAAAAAAATGCATTGCATTTTTGTTAAATGAAAAAATCTTTACCTTACCTTCAAAATGTCTGAAATTGGTGAATGTTTTTGCTATTGAAACAATCTATGAGCTGGAAACAAGAGCAAGAGATTACGTTCGCGACAAGTAATCCAATATGGCAGCGTGATCTGATGCCCACCTTTTTGAGAAAACTACCCACAATGCCGTGCGGTCGAGCCGGAAGCTCGGAACTCTTGATAGTGACACCCCAAGCTCACAGCTCCATCTGTTGGGACACATACCAGCTGGGACTCCTCCACCACTGTGACATACTCCACAATGTTCCCTCCGCCGTCGGACACTACCACAGAGGTCATCACTCATTCCTGCAAGGCACACAGTTGCATGTTTTTGTTGTATATGGACAAAAAAAACCTTATTGGTGAAGGGTGATGTTGGTTGTGAGAGAAAATGTTTAAATTACCATTTCAACCAATAAAACAAGGGACATGATAACATTTTTTCTTCCTGCTGTATCTGTTTGTTCATGCTAATGAATCAAGGATCTACAGACACCTGGATCTACAGCTTCAGTCCTAGATCTGGGGTTAGGTTTCTCACTTTTTTTTTTGAGTCATTCCTTGGTGATGCAGGACTGTGATGATCCAGGATATTTATGGACGTAAATAGTTTTGATTTACGGGCAGCAGTCATCCCTATCCCTATGGACCAATGTTGTCTGTTATAGATGCATTTCCTGTGGTTGAAAAAACCTGCACTGCTATTGCCACGCTTTCTTTTATTGTCACTTTTTATTGTACATAATTTTATCTGAAAAGACTATATTTTTAACATGTTTGCACACTTCTGTCTTTTGCACAATCTGAGTGAATGTAAATTTCTCCAGTGTGAAATCAATAAACGTCTATCTTATCTTTGATTCAGTCATATATCACAATAGGAAAATAATCAAAAAGGAAATATCAAAACTAAGATAATTAATGCAATAAATAATTAATGCAATAAACAGAGAACCACCCTCAAGCCTTTCAGCCCAAGCATGTCCAAACTGATGCTGTGAGCCAACTGCAGCCTTCAGTGTCATGTTATGCCTAGCTGACACAAAGTAGTCTTTGAAATAAAACAAAAGCTTGATTTCAAAGATACATAGTCATCCAGCCAGTTTCAGCTCTACCAATATATGAATGCTATATCTCATTGGAAAGCTCTAGATTACGATAATTCCAAATTGGTATTTTTAACAACATTTTGTAAATGCCACAAATTTGAGACATTTGTCATTCAGCAAACTTTAGCTCGGTAAAGGGGGAATCCATGTGATGACATGATGTCGTTCCTCGTCTTAAAAGGTCATAACAACTTGAATCCAGTCAAAATGAGTTTGCTATCTGGGACATGTGTGGTTTAACTAAAGTGGCCCTCTAACTAAAAAGTTGATGTAGGGAGATAGAAGCCTTTAGTCAGACGCAAACCTTTCCGGAGAGAGAACCATTAAGCCATATGGGGGGTGTTTGTTTGGGGCGGTTTGGTGTTCCACCTGCACAGCCCGGATGTTTACTGTGAGAGCGGGGCGGGATACAGTAGCGTTAGCTCCCCATGGCTAACAGCTAACGCAGCAAAACTTATTCAAGTTAACGCAGTGACTTCAGCTTTATCTTTAAGCACGCAGATTACGTGTAAAAACACTAGCTGTTTATAGAATCGGTGATAACGTATGCAATGTGTGGATGATAATTGAAAGGGGGGTGAAATTGTAATAGTGGAGGAGTAGCTAGTAAGAACTGCTAACAAGCGAAAAGATGCAAGTTTAATAGGTTGAAATAAATAACAAAAATAAGGCGAAATTAAAGCCTAAGTGTACTAAATAGGGAGTGCGATGTGGTTAGAAACAACACAATACAATGCTGGTACCTTATTTTGCATTGGCCAGCGTAAAGTAAGCTCCGTGGAAAGCTCGCAGCCAGGCCTGTTGCTAGCCGAGTGTCGCCGAGGCCGCAGCGCTCTTCTCTGGCTTTAGCTTGGGTTAGGAGCGCCTGTGTCGGACCGAGTGCTGATGAGCCGAGGGCTGTGGGATAGGGCGCTTCCTTCGTCTTTTCCCGGGGTAACTTACAGTCCTGAAGCCATCCAGGCCGCCTGATCTGCGCTAAAGCCCCAAAACCTGCACTGATCCAGAGAAAGGAGACATCCGTAGCGCTGACGTCACACTGCGAGTCCGTTTGGTCCAGAGCGCCTCCAGTGTCAACCATTGTCAACACAGTGAACCAAGCGAGTGCGATGTTATCGAGTTCAGCGATATTGACAAAGTATTAAAGGGCCATACATTGGAATCCCGGATTTATGCTATTAAATGAATAGGGCATTGCTACTTAAAGATACAGGCAATGATTAATCCAGACACCATTTTTTTAAATAATGTGGGTTAACGTCCCTAAATCCCAAAAGTAGTACATTTATCATGCGTTTTCATATAGGAATGGACATGACCAGATGCCTGTAGCAGCAAAAAAAATTAAAAAAAATATTTTGGAGCAGACCAATTTGATGCCTTCATCCCCCTCAAACCAATGGGATGTGTTTAACCCCCCATTCTCCAGCTTTTTGTCAGTGTAAGCACCCGTCTGAGTCGAGTCGAATTTTCTAAAACTCCTACAATAGCTGAACAGAAAACACCTTTAAACCCGTCTTCATAATTCACGCAATTGATTCTATCTTTTCAACACGTAAGCGTGGGTCTGGAGAGCCCGTGTGCCCGGACGGGACTTCACCGGCGGGGTATACTCTTGACAGCTGGAACAAGTTTCAGCCCCTCTGTCTGTCGACCCTGTCCATTGAAGATTCGGAAGACGTATATATCTTTGGCATTTTGGTGGTGGGAATCCTCCTGTTTGGGTTTGGAGCGATCCTGTTCTACCACAAATTCGGTGGCATGGCAGTTCGCAAGATTCACGACCTGCTGGCCGACAAAATTGATGGGATGTACAAGGAGCTAAGCCGTGTCGTGGTTGAGAGTGCCGTGTCTGGACAAAGGAGAGTGGTTTTGGTGGAACAGTTGATCAAAGATCTCGCAGCTCGTTCACTCGATGGGCATAAAACTCTGGAATTGAGATTGAATGACATTGTTTGTCAGGCTTGAACTCTCTGACCCGGCTTGGATTTGCCCCTGTGTACGGAGGTCTGAGGGCGCCGTAATTCGGTTTAATTGGAATTAATAGAATATCTGCCTGCTTTTGATGCTACATTGCATATAATATTGTCCCTCTCAGGCGATGTGTTTTTCTCCTGCTGTGTCTTCTCTCCACTCTTATCTCACATTCCTCGACCAAGGCCATAAACAAGGTCCCACAATCTACAACAACTCACACTATTTCAGTCTCCAGCAAGGATCCCTCACCCCCGCCTCCCTCTACCTATCCATCTTGCTCCCTCCCTCCCCTCCATTCCTTATTGTTTTCCTACTCACCCCCTCCCTGATCCCGCCCCCCTCTGACAGCTACATTGGGCCGGCCGCCGGAGGTGCTCATCCCGAGAAAAAAATCCGTTGTTTATAAAAAGCACAATGTGTCTATCCAATTGTCTGTGAACTGTATGTTATTGCTCTCTGCTGTTTCTTGCTGCACACAGCGCCGCAAATGGCGAAGTGGCACGCTCTCTGCCAAGACAATTTCCAAGTGATAACTTTGTTACTCACGTGGCAATAAAAATGATTCTGATTCTGATTCTGATTCTGATATGGACAAGGGGCCTGCACATTTTCCCATGGACCTCAATGTTAACTAAAACAGCTCCTCGTCCTCAGCTGACAGCTTTTTCAAAGGTTGGATTTTTCCAAGGAGCGCCGATGTCCACTAATATTTACAGTCTATGGTCCACAGTCAGCTCTTATTGATCAAAACGCTCTCGTGTTACTCTGGTCTTGCAGAAGAAGAACCACTGCACCTATTGAACAAGACCAGGAGAACCAGACCTGGCCAGAGCGCGTCACTTCTGCTAATATTTGGAGGTCCATTACCTGAGCTTTGAATTTTTTGGATTTTCACAACTCTATTTGTGTTAGTCCTCTGGGTTTTTCATATTTTGTCTGAGAGAACAAAGTTGATTCCTCAACCACAAAAACATAACGTGGACAAAACGTAATAATACAAATAGATCTCTCTCCTTGTCCCACGCCTCAGGTGTGTGCTCATTTGTAATCTCATGTGTTGTTTGCAAATACATTCGTAATATTCAAGTATTATTATGTGCTATATGCCTCACCGACAGAGGGCACCCTAGATTAAGAATGTACCATGCTTTGAGTTTGACACTCTCCGGATAAAAAGATTGAAGATTCACTTTTGAAGCTTCCCCTGGACTGCCACCTTACTGTGGTGGGGGAGTTTGAGTACACGGATGATCCTGGGAGCTATGTTGTCTGGCGCTTCATGCCGCTGGTAGGGTCTCCCATGGCAAACAGGTCTCGAGTGACAAGTCAGACGAAGAGCAGTCCAAAACCAGTCATGGATAGCACGATAACGAGATCAGTGACGTTGCACGGCATGGCGCAGCCGGGGCCCCACCCTGGAGCCAGGCCTGGGGTCGGGGCTCGAACGTGAGCGCCTGGTGGCCGGGCCTTAGCCCACGGGCCCCGGCCGGGCTCAGCCCGAAAGGTTGACATGGGCAAGCCCTCTTGTGGGCCCACCACCTGCAGAGGGGTCCGTGGTGCAGAGAGAACTGGGCAGCAGTCGAAGGCGGAAACCTCGGCGACCAAGTCCGCACACCCAACATCTGGCTCTTGGGACGTGGAACGTCACCTCACTGGGGGGGAAGGAGCTCAAGCTCGCGGGGGAGGTTGAGAGATACCGACTAGAGATAGTCGGCCTCACCTCCACACACAGCTCGGGCTCTGGAACCCAACACCTTGAGAGGGGTTGGATGCTCCACTTTTCTGGGTTTTCCCGTGGGGAGATCGTGGGGAGGGTGGCCATACTTATTTCCCCCCAGCCACGTGTTGGAGTTCTCCCCGGTGAATGAGAGGGTCGCGTCCCTCCGCCTCCGGGTGGGTGACAAGCCTCTCACTGTTGTGACGGCCTACTTCTGTGATAGTCACACTTTGTCCATCACGAACACCATGTTAGAGCACAAGGGTGTCCACCAGTGCACGTGGCACCAGGACACCCTAGGCCGGAGGTTGATGATTGACTTTGTTGTCGTATCATCTGACCTTCAACCGCGTGTCTCAGACACTCGGGTGAAGAAAGGGGCGGAGCTCTCAACCAATCACCACCCGGTCGTGAGTTGGATCTGCTGGCAGGGGAGGAAGCCGGTCAGACCTGGCAGACCCAAGCGTGTAGTGAAGGTCTGCTGGGAACGTCTTGCTGAGCCCCCTGTCAGACGGAATTTCAACTCACACCTCTGGGAAAACTTCTCACAGGTCCCGACGGAGGAGAGGGACATTGAGTGGACTAGGTTCTCCACCTCTATCGCAAGGTCTCTGGTGCTGGTCCCGGCGGCAACCCCCGACCCGGTGATGGACACCGGCAGTAAGGAATGCCGTCAGGCTGAAGAAGGGGTCCTATCGAGCCATGTTGGTTCGTGGGACTCCTGAGGCCGCTGTCCGGCATGCCAAGCGTGCCGCAGCCCTGGCTGTTGCAGAGGCAAAAACCCGGGACTGGGAGGAGTTCGGAGAGTCCATGGAGCATGACTATCGGTCGGCCTCGAAGAGATTCTGGCAAACCGTCCGGCGCCTCAGGAGGGGGAAGTAGTTCTTTGCAAACACCGTGTATGGGGCGGGTGGAGAGCTGCTGACGTCGACTGGGGATATTGTCGGGCGGTGGAAGGGATACTTTGAGGTTCTCCTCAATCCCCCCGTCAAGATGCTGAGGATGTTGGGGCGGATACTTCTATCTCCCTGGCAGAGGTCACCAATGTGGTTGGCAGCCTCCATGGTGGAAAGGCGCCGGGAGTGGATGAGATCCGTCCTGACTATCTTAAGTCTCTGGATGTTGTAGGACTGTCTTTGCTGACACGTCTCTGCAACATCGCGTGGCGATCGGGGACGGTGCCAATGGAGTGGCAGACCGGGGTGGTGGTCCCTCTCTACAAGAAGGGGGACCGGAGGGTATGTTCCAATTGTGGGATCACACTCCTCAGCCTCTCCGGTTTACTCCAAGGTACTGGAGAGGAGACTATGACCGATGGTCGAATCTCGGATTCGCCCCGGTCGCGGAACACTGGACCAGCTCTATACTCTCCATCGGACACTCGAGGTCTCATGGGAGTTCGCCCAACCTGTCCACATGCGCTTTGTGGATTTGGAGACAGTGTTCCCCGGGGTGTCCTTTGGGGGGTTCTATGGGGTCCGGGGTCCTCTGCTGAGGGCCGTTCGGTCCCTGTATGACCGGAGCCAGAGCTGCGTTCGCATTGCCGGCAGTAAGTCAGACCTGTTCCCGGTGCATGTTGGCCTCCGCCAAGGCTGCCCTTTGTCACCGGTTCTGTTCACTGTCTTTATGGACAGAATTTCTAGGCGCAGCCCGGGACCGGAGGGGGTCCGGTTCGGGGACAATAAGATTTCATCCCTGCTTTTTGCTGACAATGTTGTTCTGTTGGCCCCAACGAACCAGGACCTGCAGCATGCACTGGGGTGATTTGCAGCCGAGTGTGAAGCAGCAGGGATGAGAATCAGCACACTCAAATGATGCTCGACCGGAAAAAGGTGCCTTGCCCTCTCCAGGTGGGTGGAGCAGTCCTTCCTCAAGTGGAGGAGTTCAAGTATCTCGGGGTCTTGTTCACGAGTGAAGGAAGGATGGAGCGTGAGATTGACAGGCGGATCGGTGTAGCGTGCGCAGTGATGCGGTCGCTGTATCAGACCGTTGTGGTGAAGAGGGAGCTGAGCCGAAAGGCAAAGCTCTCGATTTACCGGTCAATCTTCGTTCCCTCCCTCACTTATGGTCATGAGCTTTGGGTAATGACCGAAAGAACGAGATCACGGATACAAGCGGTCAAAATGAGCTTCCTCCGCAGAGTGGCTGGGCGCTCCCTTAAAGATAGGGTGAGGAGCTCAGTCACACGAGAGGAGCTCGGAGTAGAGCCGCTGATTCTCCACGTAGAGAGCAACCAGTTGAGGTGGCTCGGGCATCTGTTCCGGATGCCTCCTGGACGCCTCCCTAGGGAGGTGTTCCAGGCACGTTCCACTGGGAGGAGACCCTGGGGAAGACCCAGGACACGCTGGAGGGACTATGTCTCTCAGCTGGCCTGGGAATGCCTTTGG